ACAGCGCGGCGAGTCCAGTCTGGGTGGAACGCCGTGAAACTGGCGCGGTTAAACAGAAACGGAGACAGTTCCTCCCACAGAAACAGCGAGGCGTGGACCAGCAACATGCAGTGTCCTGAGATGTCGTGACCGCCAGACCAGGTCCCGCGGGCCAGGCGGCACCGGGCGTAGGTGAGGATGTCACTGCCAGCCGAGCACTGGCCGCCACTACCGACGAACACGCGGTCAAACAAGGACGGGCCAAAAGCCCATTGGGTGAGCAGGTACCAGTAGGCCGTGGCAGCGGCCCACCGCGTGGCGAACTGGGTCCAGCTGCCGGGACAGCGGCGGTTGATCACGGCGCCCACATAGGCGGCGAAGGCCCCGGTGGTCCAGGCCCACCCCCACTTGGCGAACACCACGTTGAGCACGTTGTGCTTGTTACCAAAAAAGTATACTAAATGGTGGAGCGCCGGGGTAGTAAGCTGTATGTTCATGAGCGGGTCAACGGGCGGGTGAGTGCCAAGGGTCTCACCAACGACCTGGGCTGCGGCCCGGCCAAGTTCCGGAGTGGGTCCAGCAGATGGGCCCGAGTTGAGAGCGCTCGTGTAGTAGCCCAGGGCGTACCACTCCTTAAGCCCTGTGCCAATCAGCACCGTGAGGGCAAAGAGGAGGGCCACAGTCGTGCCAGACACCACTACATCGCGCAGGATACGTTCTGCCCGGCGTGGGGGCCGAGGCACGGGGGGAATGGGCGGGACACTGTTGGTCTCGGACATGGTGGGTATCGAAAGCGAGTAATGAGAGAAATGAAAGGTTGTAAAGAGGACCAGTGAACACGGGCCGTAGAAATGAGTAACAGGTAGGTGGCCCCGGTGTACTACAAGAGTGGCGCTAATGAAAGGCTACGTACGAATGAAGAGGAGAGTCTATCAAGTGGTTGTCAGTGCTGGTACGAATGGGGGGGTATCGTTATGAGCTTCAAACCGTGGGTTGAGGAACCCTACCCGATGACGACATAAATTGGGCGTGTGGAAGCGGGGATATCGCTGAGGGTGTACACATGCCATTGTGACGCTCGAGGGGTTTTCGCCAAATTCGTTGATATGGTGGCCCCAAACGACGCCTGGTGAAGTTAAGGGAACCTATGATATCATGCCACAAGGCTGGCAAGAAGGAGCGACTGCGGCAGAGCTTGTGTCAATAGCTTCCCCGCTTTGCAGCCACTGCCACCTAACTGACTCAGAGTTTTCGCCAAGGGGAATTTCTCGTCCACTGCTGGCAAGAGAACCACAGGTCAGAAAGTACACCTGTAGAAGGTATGTGCATTCGCTGGAAATTTCGGTACGGAATTACTATGCTCTTCCAAATCAACCGATAGACAGCCTCCTTATTATTAGACGATAACCCTTACTCTGGGACAATCTACCAATGGCCTTAATAGTGGTTCTTCGATTTTGAACTCGTTAGAGGGGCTATCTTTGCACCCTAGGCAGTCACACACCAGGTCGTCCCCGTCCCTACTGGGATGTCTATTTCAAGCGGACACTTTCACTACGGCAGCTGATTGTGAACTGCCAAGACATCCCCCGCATATGTATACTCCCCTCCCTGGCTAAACCTGTCACTAGTTCCGCTTCCGGTGAAGCTACCAACGTACCCAAACCAGCCAAGCTTATCGGTGGCTAGGCCCGGGCCCGTACTGCAAGCCTGGGGCTCGCAAGCCGTGTACTCTAAGTGTATGCCGGGGTGCCCCACATACCAGCACTTAAAAATAGTATTGAGCCCCTCCCCCCCTTCACCTCCATTCATACACTTCCCTATACTGGTTGTATTAGACTCCCGATCATGCCCTGACTGGTATAAAAAATGATCTCCACCGTAAATACGCTGTACCCGTTGCAGGCCTGAATCGACCAAGACGTGATAAGCCCACGGCGAGCGTGGTTCATGAATTCACAAGTGTTGTTAGGGCCAGGGTCTTACCTTACCGCAGTCTCACCTCTCCCTCTCTGTCTTGCTTGAAGTCGCCCTCTGCCCAACTGCCGACGTTACGGTCTTCATTTTTTTTACCAAAGGACCTCCAAATTGGAAGCATTGGAAAGACATCGCTCCTATCGTCGCGCCTTGCCTCTGGAGGCCCCCGTCGACCAGCTAATATGGTACCGCTTTGTGTCCCCGTCTCGCCTACGATCACGGATAATAGTTTAGCGCGGCGGACGGGCTCGCGCTGGTCGTCAGCCGGGCCCCCGCCTTCCCCGACCGCCATTAGGCCTCACCTTACCACCAACGCAGGGTTATTTTGACCTGTAGGCAGAGGGAAAGTGGGCGGTTGATGTGGCTTCTGTAGACACCAAGAGTGACCCGTGCTGGCACCTGCCCACCATCAGCCGGTACTCTCTTCCCGCTGTACTCTCTAAGCCAGAGGTCGGCACCTACGGTGCTCGATATACAAGGGCCACAGGGACCACCTACCGCGCAGAAAGAAATGAAGGGAGGCGGAATGGATAGAGAAGGGGGCGGTAGGACCCGATCCATCGACCCAGCGCGCCCTGTGGTCCTCCCGTCGCGGACCATCTACCTGTTTGTCGACAAAGGGCGTGTGTCGTTATGAGCCACACCCTGCTCTCTCTCTTTCCTCACAGCGGTGGCATTCCTCGTCCTCCCGTTTTGTACCTTACTCTATCCCCAAGCTTGACGCCTCCCTCCCAACCGCGCCTTTTCTTTTTTCCGAGCACAAGATCTTTTTCAGGCTGCGAGCCGTGTATATATAACGAACAGGAATCCGCGCGCCTAGCGCATTCTTTCGATTAACATTCGTAATGATATCTTTTCCTCTATTGTTTTACTTGGACTGTTATTGACTCCATCTGATACACAGCCGCTATCCTTTTAAAAACACGGCCTAATCCATTAGTTGGAACCTCACCTTTCACCATCATAAAGTTCCCTCTTCCTAGCTAATTAGGTCAAATAATCCTACAGGAACCGGCTCGCCTTTATCATTGCCTTGTCGGCCACCGAATCCAGTCCATGAATCCACACTTTCGCCCATCTTTCCCAGTACAATAGTCATGCAAGTATGTCTCGCCGGGCCCCTTCACTGAGGACTACCCAGCCGACTATTTCTTTCGGTACACCTAGTCCCAACCTACTCGTCACCCACCATATCAACCTAATTATACCTTACCTTCGTTGTTGCCCTACCATTCTTGGTTCAATACCTTCTGCAGGTCAACCAGCGACTCCACCCACTATGGCACCTAGTCAAGATTATGCAGGTTTTTGTCCTCGGTACCCTAGTTGCCCGGTTAATACTGGCGTCCCCAACGCCCCTGAGTTCAGCCATTGGTGACCTTGTGGACAAAGGTATCGCAAAGTCCCACCTGGCCGATGTAGTCGGTACGGATGTACCAGACTCCGCCAAAACATACACGGTGGTCAATAGCAAGCAAATCGAGTTCCTCAAGGGCTGGGTTGAGTAAGTAGCCCCAGACGGTGCCAACATCGGACTTTGGCACTTTCATGTAAACGTCGGCCTAGTGTAATCTGGTGGGCACTTAATTCACATCGGTCCTTATCCTCGCCTCGACTAACCGTCGGCTGCCACCCTCATACTTTACTATTATCCGTCAACCCTCTCCTCCCTCAGCTACGCCTTCGCCTCCTATCGCATAAACTCCATGGCCGACGACAAGGTCCTGGCCAAATCAGCGTTTGCTAAGCATGCCACGCTAGAGTACGTAGCGACGCTCGATACTTTTCCGGCCTTGACAGTGTTCATCGCGGTGGACCGTCCGGCCTCCATGATCGTGGTGACGTTTCGTGGGTCGGATGATGAGACCTTATACAATACGGCCAGTCGGGTTAACCTCGTTAGCCTCATCGCGCCGGGTATCGGTCGGGTGTTCGGTGGGGCCATGCAGGGTGTGACCAAACAGGGACCCACTATTGTGGCCAAGCACCGCGAACTGCTCCAGAAATACCCCGGGTTCCGCACCTACGTCGTTGGCCACTCGCTCGGCGGCCTACACGCCGTGTTTTACTCGGCCCTCAACGCAAAAGCTATACTCGCCAGCGCTAAGACTTCGGACGCAGGCGATGCTACTACGAAGCCGGAGAATAAAGCGACGACCGCCGACAACCATATTCCGTGGCAGGTCATCACCTTCGCTTGTCCCATGGAGGGTGACAAGGACTTTAGCGAATACTACCGCGGCCTCAACATCCCAACCTTCTCGGTCATGAACTCGTTCGATCCGATCAGCTACCTCCCCACTGAGATGCTGAAGTACACTCGTGCCGTTCCGCGCATCGTCGTCGATAACCACACTAATCAGACTGTACAGTGCCACAGCACGCTTACCAACCTGCTTGCCCGTGACCTCTGTACCGGTCGTCCCGAGCTCGGTAGCCTCTCGAAAGAGTACCATTCGGCATTCTGGGGTAATGATGGGAGCCACCTGGGCGCGAAACCAAACGCTATCTAGGCAGGTGCGAACATCACGCCGTCCTGCCAAGTGTCTTCTGGCTTAGTGGTCGGCTGGTCCGCCACAGCTCACTCCACACATTGCCGTTTAGTTCTGTTACAGCCAATTAATAAATCAGCCAACCGACCCGGTGGGTGTTGTTCAAATGGTTGCGGTGTTATGACCAGCATTCTCACTTCTTGACCTCTGACAAACTAATGGGGCACGACACTCCTCGCCAGGATCCGCAGTAGTTTACTAAGGCACGACAGCCAAAACTTTTTTGTTTTGGACCGAACTCCCCCCCCCGCTCTCTCCTATTAATCGGGTATCTCACATTCCGGATCTGACATGGAAACCGCTAGTGTCCACAATACCCAGGCTGAAGCAGCTGGCCTCTCTGACAATACCGAGGGTCCCATAGACTGCCGAGTCACTCACTATTGCCATTCTGCTAGAACTCCCCGCCACCCGGGACTGGCTCTAAGGGCTATTTTAAGCTCCGCAGACGACGAATGACACCTTGTGGAGCGCCCAGAGCTCTCCGTGCGGGTCAGCTTGGCCGAGTGGTGAAGGCGTTAGACTTGTATCCGAGGACCCCTCTCTTTATCTATAGGGCCGGAGTGATCTAATGGGGGTAGTACCCCGCGCGGGTTCGAATCCCGCAGCTGGCAACCTCGCCTACTTTTTAACTTTGGACCCATGTGTCCTTCTTGGCGGATGACAAGCGAGAGTTGGAAGTGGATCTTCCTTAGGTGGCCCTCCACCCGGATCCCTAGGAGGAGGGAGGAGACGGCGAGAGAAGTAGGAGAAAGAGGAGGGAGAGTTATGTGAATAGACAGTCGATTCGAGTCGATGAGGTGGGCATTACCCTACTGAGTCTTGTAGCGGTCGCGAAGCCCCGCGTGCGTAGACGACACGAGCGGCCAGCTCCCGGAACGCTGTGTGCATCAATTGCTCCAGGCTGTGCCATCTTTTAGTTTGCCCCTACAGCTAGGTTTGGCCTGTGCTGTAGGCACAGTACTGATTACTGGTTTAAAATATCTGCGCTATCCTCATAAGGCAAACCCATCCCCCCTGTTGAGTTATTAGACGCTTCTACATGGTCGCTAACAGTCCGCCGTGATGACATGATGTTGTGTCTAGCCCGTTCTACGTATGAATATACTGTCTCCCGATGGTAAGGTGGGCGGGAAGAACCTCCTGGCAATTCACATCACCAAATCCACCCCTTTTTCACCTCCGGAAGGAAGCACTCGATAGCCACTACATAATACCGACTGGGTTAGCTACATTTTATATGTAGGCCCTCGGGAAGCAAACATGATCTTCGCCCACTAGCGATGAGAAGTTCGCTAGCCCAATCTATTCCGCACGTCAAGATGAGTGTCAGCACGGGGGACCATTGCTGTAGAATACTCATGCGTAGCTCCGCCGGACATCATTTTACAAGTGGTGGTAATTGACGGGAGGATTGGAAACGCACTCCGGCTACGTCGTGATGTGGGTCTACAATTGGTTCCAGCAGGATCTACCACTCGTCTGTCGTACCTAGGCATGTCTAATTCATGTTGACCTAATATAAATAGTCAACCTACCAACAGTTCACAATGACATGACTCCCCCCCCTTTATCCTTCACACTCACTTCTCTACCTTCCAGCTGATTATGAGGCCTGTCAACGCCCATTCATCCAGTGATCCCCTCCGCTCTTCTCTCGTCCCGCTTCGTTATTAACTTCCCTATGAGTTTCGTCGGTGAGGCCGTCTTCTGCCACGTCGCCTACCTGACCCTGGGCAGCCTATCGGTCGTTGCGTGTGGCACTACCTGCTGGCCCTTGAGGCAAGTCCGGCTGCACAGCACCTTCTTTCTCATTGTTCTTAGCATTGATTCAACAAATAAGCGTGAGTTATTTAATACGGAGGGAGCGGCGGTGTGCAACGCCGTGTCTGTCACTCTCCTATCCTTTCTTTTCTACTGCTAGACGCACATGATTGTAACACGTAGTATATCACTTATGAACTACATCCACCGAAGCGTAGTTGACGCCATAAGACAGGGGCTGCGTAAAAGAGCTGGTATCGGGTACGCTAGAGTGACCCATTTCTAGGAAAGAGCGGGCTGGCTAAATGGGGCAGAGGCCTACCCCTTCACTGACAACGCTGCCAACCATAACTCGGTGGTTATCTGGATCCAGCACAGCGACGGATGCCAGATTCAGCCAGGGTCCAGGGTGGGCAAGCAGCAGGGTAGCATTAGCCGCCCTATTCACATCACCGATAGGCATGTGCTTAGCGACTCCTTGTACACGGTTGTCCGAGATCGAGTTCGCTGAGAGTCGCACCACACCCCAAGCAATTTTGGCGTCCGGGTGGAAATGGTCACCGTGCGCGGGGGTGACCACTTCGATGGGACGCATGATACCGGCCGCATAAATATCACCGGTAGCGTGGTCGACCCGTAGATTGTCCGGTAGGATTGGCAGATCCTTAAGGACCATTCGCAGCGTCAATTCCAGGGTGTCAGGGTCCATGTCAAACACAGTGACGCGGCGGCCGGTCGCTGACGCCACGAACACTAGACCACGATCATGGTCAATGTCGATACCATTAGCGTAGACCAATCCACCATACGCCCGACGTACCTCCGAGGAATGCAATGCTTCTCTGCCCTCCACAGCTGGCTGGTACACCACTACATCCGTCCACGCCCGGCTGGTCATCTTTTCCAAAGTGCGCATTGGGCCTGGCAAGCGGTGGTAGAAGTCATTGGTGAGGAAGAACGAGCGCGGCGAGAGCGCGACGACGGCGTTAGGTGTACGGATGAGTGGGTCGGTAATGGTACGGACATGTATGAGGGTATTGCTGTCTAGTCGGTGGTCAAAAATCTCGACGCTGGAGTGATCCGGGTGACCATGGTTAACCAACATCACAGTGACCGTACCAGCCTCCGAGGCGGGATGCTCATAGATTGTGAGGCCGTGGGACCGGTAAATGCCTGTGAAGTTGACAAAGGTCAGAGGCACTAGCTCACCGCTCTGGATCAAGGATCGAGGATTGGAGACAGGGAAAAGGAAGATAGAGGGTGGCTTAGTAAGCGTGCTGCTAGGGGAGGACACATGCAAATACCGTCATAACAGTACCCCCTGAACGTGGTTGTTCAACCGTCTCAAGCTCGCTTCTGGTAGTTATGTTCATATCATATCCCCGCCCGGCATTCTATTCAGTACGCTGCAGCCACTTCACTCCTTCCTCCCCAATGGTGGTCCTCGTGAACATCGGCAGCGCGAGTGTGACGCCACTCCAGAATTTACCTTCAGGTGATACTTGTAAACAGCGTCGCTTTCGGCCGTCAACTTGATGAGGCGCTCCAATGGGGGGAACCACTGGGTGCGCAGGTCGAGACGGCCGCAGGCCAAAAAGGCCGTATGGGAAGGTGCGTGGATGACAATGTCCTCGCAACCGCCGGGAACATTCAGCTGGACGCAACCGTCGGTGTTGAAGGGCTTGACGCCGTGGCGATAGTTGAAAAAGATTGTTCCAAAGTTCACGAAGGCCGTAAGCAGACCAATGAGGCCTGCGATGGCACTAACGACAAGGGTCCACGTGGCCATGGCACGTAGATTGATAGAGGGTGGATTAGGAGAAAAGCTCTGGGCACCACCTACCCGTGCAGGTAATACTATCAATTTAGGAACGGAAAAGAGGAGAGAGATGCTAGGTACCAGGAAAACATCAACCGTGCAGTTATAGCGGTTCTGGTCAACCGGCAGGTTCAGGAGGCTTAGCAATTAAACTTTCGACTGGAAAAAAAAACAGGGGGAAGAAATAGACAGTTGCCCCTTTGTATCCTACTTTCTCACTGACACTGTGCTCTAGAGGTAGCCAGGACAATCCAAGTTCCTTAGCGGGTAGTGTTTGATAAATACTAGTTCGCAGTCCTGCGCTGCCACGCAAGGGTTATTCACTAGCCCAGCTGTTTGGCGAATAACGAGGAAACAAGCCATAACCTAGTCGCCGACGGGCCTTGGAATACAGGACAATCGTAGCCTATTGCGTAACGGTGGAAAAGTCTATATAATGGATTTCGGCATCCAGCTGGGCTCAGGATCCGTAACCTATAGCCTCTGCACGCCACAAACTACATGGCGCGTCGTATTTTCCCATCATTTCAAAAATATTGTTTCACACGAAACGATTTGATTAAAGCATTTTTTGTCTGACAGGTACCAATGCCCCTCCCAAATAATACCTTTCTCGCCACTGGCACGACTAACTCCGTGGCAAATGATCCCTGCATAAAACATCAAGGGGTCCTCACTGTGAACCCAAAAATAAAGCCAAGTTCGCCCATTTATACTACCACCATTCCACTAGTATCAAATTTGGGCTGGACGTTACTAGGAAATCATGGGGGGGGGTTGGAAGTGCAGATATTCCCAATCATTTAAAGAAATAAACTGGGCACGGGATCGAACCCAAGTACGGCCCAAAGATTAGAAGTGGGAGCGAAGTACGTCACGGCTAACAAATGGGCGGTCCCATGGCATCTGGCACACTGGTCAGGTTCGTTTCCACGAGTTCAAAGTAACGGGGAAGACCGGGTGGTCGATGGACTGCAGGGACCTACGAATAAAGTCTTTCCAACAAAAGTCGGTACAGCGTTTCCAAAGATCGGATTCAACAGCGGTTAGTTAAAGCCCTAGCCCGGAGTCGAGAGCCCCTGTCTGGTCACTAACATAACGGTGTAGTACTTACTGCCGCCCAGGAATTCGGCGCTGTTGTAGAGGTGGTATACGGGCCAGGTCTCCCTTAGAATTTCAGTGGCTTCGCGTGTACGTTGGTTGATGAGGGTGCAGGCCGCCGCTGACTCAATACCCTCGGGAACGACTTCGCTGCGTATATTTGTCACTTCGCCTAGAGAGGTGGAAATCATCACGGGGAGTGTCGAATTAACCCACTGGAAAACAGGAGAGAAAGTCGGCTATACCGGGTGGAAATGCTCATGCATCTCGATGAGAATTAACATGCGTAGATGTCGATAGGGCCAGGTTTCCTAAAACTAGAGACTTACCAGAAGCGTAGTGGACACGGACCACGAGGTTGTGAAACCGGTATCTAATGCGGTGCGATGGTAGGGAGGGGGGAATGCGGGATTTTAGTCGGTGCATAACAGCGTAGCAGCTAACTCCGCCCCCTAAGTACTACCATGGGCTCATTGACCGGGCGAGTCTAAGCAGCACTTACTGTTTTGTTGTCGGGTGGTGTGATATTAGCCCGACACTGAGAAAAATGCTATTGGGGGTCGTTATGTTCTGGATAAAAGAAATACGTGCAATTCCGGAAAAGTTGGCATTAATAATGGGTAGCCACTTGAAGAATTACCCAGTCTGAACCAGCATTTTAAACTTACATGCGCAATAGTGAATGAATAGTCAAACAGGCGGGGCGTGGCGTCGCAAGTCGCGAGGTAACGATACATGTGTTTCTCCAGGTTAAAGAAATACGCAGCGGTCTGCGCAAAACAGATAGCGGATAAAACGGCAGGAAATTAGTAGTATGTCGCCGGCGGGCTGGAAGTTGATCAAGCGAAAGGCAGGCCAGGGCAACCTTACTTACCTGCCATCCTCCAGATCCACCGTACACGCCGGTAGTAATATCAAAGCGGTCCTGGG